GTGTAAAAATTATAACATGTGAATTAAAGAATGTAAAATTAAATAAAATCAATAATTTCACTGGTTAAAATCATGAGTCCATTGAAGCTAGACCACCATGGAAAACCTAGAAGCACTGGATGGCCGTTTCGTTCTAGTATGAGACTCCTCAGCAGTGCGCACCCATCGAATCTCGCGGGGGGCGGGATCATGGATGCGCACTGCTGAGGAGTCCCATACTAGTACGAAATGGCCTTCCAGTGCTTCTAGGTTTTCCATGGTGGTCTAGCTTCAATGGACTCATGATTTCAAGCAGTGAACTTTTTAAAACTCTCCACAAAACCCATTCTGATAATAAAAATCAATAATGTTCAGATGACCAATATGAAATGTTGACTTGATCAAGTTTTTATGTTAAATAAAATTAATTAGTTTTTTATAAACTGATTGTTATAAACATATAACTTCGATATTTGTTTATAATAATCTGAATAATTCTTCATTCTTTTGTTCTAATGATTTACAGTTTGTTATGGTGAAATAAGTTGAAATACTATTTAAATTTAACAGAGTAGTAATTTTTGGATATGTCGAAAATGTAGTCAATTACCTATGAATAAAATAATGCTCAATAAGCGGGAAAATTAATGTGAACATTTGTGAAGTAATTGTATTAAACAAGCTGAAAAGTGTTGAGGAAAGCATTTATACCAGTGGATCATATACGAAATAAATACTCTAAGATTGAATTTCACACCGTAGAATCTAATTAGTTGAGCTTTAACATCAATTAGAACTGAAATCAGATTATTTCCATGCAGTACAGTTGAAATAAGGAAACTATTTCTACTTGAACAGATAAATCACTGAGGTATTCTGTTTACTTACATTCATTTAAGAATAAATAACTCCAAAAAAGTGTCGAATATTTTTATAAAATCAAGATTCTAAAATAAATTTTTTTCTTTAGTATTTTAAAACTATTTTAAATTATTTAATCACAAGTGTTTATTGAAGTTGGGCGGTGGCTAGTAGTTGTACTCTGAACCCGAAGTTTGGACTATTTTAGTAGATTTGATTAATTTTATAATAAAGAATAACAAAGCTTAAAATTGTTCCTTCAGCAACTTAATTACGAATTAAACAGCGATGTAGTGAAAATCCGATTGTTTATAAATCGCATTTATTTACGTTATAATTGTAAAATAAAGTTTGATATATATATTCAAAGGCTCCATTGCACCATTTAAATCTGGTCTCGACTTTAGTGTATGTATGTAACAGAACATTTATTTTTACCGATCCCGGTATTATGAGAAACAAATACAAATCATTTTTTGAAGTATTTTAATAGAGTAATAAGATCTCTAAACCTGATGCCATAGTTTTATTTAAAGAAAGAAGAAAAAACATGAAAATCGATGTCAGAATTTAGGAAATGAAATTTAGTTTTTTCAGTCGTAAACAAACCCAGTTGCTCAATTAACTAGTTTATAATGGATCAATAAATTATGGATGTATATTTATTGGTCAAAGCTAATAAAGTAAGAAATAAATGGAGAGCTTTTGATAAGATTTTCAATACAGATTTTGGTAGTTGATGTGCAGTTAATACTGATTTAAAGCCGTGCATAATTATGTAAAATACTTTTCTTATTATACATCCACCAGGTGATCAGTGCTTATGGAAGAATGTACTTATCCACTTCTTATTTCCTGTAACTGCTATAACTTTGTAAAATATTTATATCAGTTCATAATTTCCTTTTATTAATAAACTATTAATTAAACAATTAATTTTTTATACTTTAATCCACCTGATTAGGTAAGCACTTGTCATCATGACAACAATAAGTTACTTAGTCATTTAGAACGTAGGATCAGGTACATATATGCATTGGTTCAAGTTTCCATACCTCATTAGCATAGCGAGATGAACACCAAATTCATAGAAGCAGTTACTTCAATGACAGTACTGCATAGAAAAATGGTTGCATATAAGGGTATGATACAGGGAAAAAGAATTAGTTCGTAGAAGGAAAAGTATAACGTAATTGTAATCTCATGGTTTGAGGGAAAACAAAGAGTGTGTACACCTACTCCATTGTGACCGATTCTGAGCCATTTCACCAAGAGTCTCCAACCATTGGTTACGATAGTCACGCGGACCCCAACCAAGTAGTCTGCATCTACTAACATGGCTGAGACCAGAAGTTAGGGACTTCAGGCACTGATGCCACGTTTTGGTTTGGCCGCCCCTAACTTTCTTCCAACCATCCTCTACACCGGTTAGCATTGCACGTCGTAGTAATCGGTGTTCAGGCATACGTAACACGTGGTCCAACCATCTCAGTCGATGAAGATTCAAAACCTCATCAACTGATTTACCATCATTCCCTAATACCCTGCGTCTAACCTCACTATTACTTACCCGGTGATCCCAGCAATATTTCTAATGCATCTGTGGTCAAATACTAGTAGCTTACGGATGTCTTCTACTCTTAAGGGCCATGTTTCGCTGCCGTAAATTAAAACAGAACGAACTGCCGCGTAGTATACTCGTCCTTTTATTGATAGACGGATATCTCGCCATCGCCAAAGGTGACGTAAGTTGGCAAAAGCCAAACGAGCTTTTCGAATCTGTGCTGAGATTTTTCCAAACATCAACCCATTAGGGCTGATCAGACTTCCAAGATAAGTGAAGTTGTCAACGCGTTCGACTACTTCACTCCCTATCCTTAGTTCAGGTGTTGACGCAAACCAGTCCTGAAGCAACAACTTGCATTTAGAGGGAGATGCTCATTCCAAACACTGGCATTGTTGCTCGGTGCTTCCAAAAGACTCTGCATCTTATCAGCGTCTGTACCAAACAGGACTATATCATCTGCCTATTCTAAGTCGATAAGTGAACCTCCTGGAAGGAGATCAATACCCGAGAATTCAGCCGACGAGAATGTTATTTCCATCAGTATGTCTATGATGAAACTGAACAATAATGGAGAAAGTGGACAGCCTTGCCGGACACCACATGAGGTTGAAAAGTCAGATGACAGTTCGCCACAAGCTTTAATTCAACTGGAAATATTTGAGTAGTGAGCCTTCGCAAGGTTCATATATTTTGAGGTTCACATTTCAACGACAGACACTGCCATAGTATCACTTGGTCTACCGAGTCAAATGCTGCTTTTAAGTTGAGAAAGACCACCATTGTCGGATGCTGATAAGTATGTCTGTGTTCTAAGATCTAACGAATGGTAAATATGTGAGCGATGCAAACACAAACAGGACTGAAGCCAGTCTATGTTCTTTCATGTTTACAGTTCACGAGTCTTTGTTCCGTGTTCGATAATTATTGAGGCTAGTGTTTTACACTGTACATTAGTCAAAGAAATCCCTCTTTCGTTATCATAGAATGATTTTGACACGTTATCAGAAAATAAGAATTTTTATTATTGGCATTACAAGTTTTGCACTCAAACATATATCAATGATAATGTTGCCAAAGAGAAAAAAATAACATATTTCACTAAACTAAATTAAATAATTCAAATTGAGCTCTTGGTGTCGAATCTGAACATGATCAAATGCATATCAATCTAACATTTGAATGCAACTAAAACAAATAACAAAACACTGCTTGCTATTATTAACGCAAATAACAGAAAAATAATATTTTAGTTAAGAGATTGTAATGATTCAAAGTAAACACTCAAGTCTACTGTAATAAACTATTCACTCAAATATGTTTATACGCGTTAGGGGGAATATATATAATAAAAAAATTAACATCAACTGAGTTTGACAGCTTATTTAATCATAACTGCATATAGTTCAGAAGATTCAAAATAAATCGAATCAACTATTCAGTGGTCTCTAGTTATTATCAACCACCGGCTTATTTTATCTCTATATAAAAACAAAATTCAAACTAGTAGATTGTTGTTATATAAACAGTATTTTGAGTGAATAATATGATAGAAGGAATACTGACACATGAATAATATGGTCCGATACAATGTGAATATGAGTAATCAGCAGTCGTGAGTGTAATTATACTGGAGAACTACAAATACTATTCATTTACTCATTGTGTCAACCAAATGACATGCTGACTCACATACAGAAGTATGAGACAAAACAAATGTGGTTCGAAATTAAACAACACACAGTCACTTAACATAAAATTATATTCAAAGTTTACTAAATATCCATTGATTTTAAGATTCCTAACATCAGTCATGTTTCTTTACGTCATAATGAATAGCATATTTGACGAGAAACGAAGGGTGCAATTTAAGAAGTATATTGTCAAATATAACTACCAACTCAAAGATATATGACAATAACTACAAATAAACGTCATTATACACATTTACAAGAACTGCACATACCTGAGTGATTGTTTCATTTCCCAGATTTGTAATATTCCCTACTAATGACATTTTCAGCTGACTAGGTTGAATTATTTGAAAACGATGGGGAGTTGATGAACATAATAATATCTTAATAGACACTTTCATTAGAATAAATTTAAATGTTAATTAGTAGTCTATATAATTACTGCATTACATTTCTTTGTGTTTAGAAAGTACAATAAGTTTAGTAATAGTTAGTAAGTTTCTCGTCAAATGGGAAAATATTTTAACTGTATATAGTGGTAGGTTAATCACAACCAATCAAGATATATAGATAGATCATATCAAACACAGTAATAACGATAGATATGCATTATCAAAATATATATGTGAAACAGTCAATCAACATGCACAAATTAGTATTAATTGTAAATTTTCAATATTCAAAGTAGACAAGTTTCCTATCGATGTAAACTAAATTTACTAGTTGAAAAACAGTAGCAATTCAAATCGAAATAATAAAACATTTATTTTTTTAAATGACATCAAAATCATAAGTTCTAAGATGAACAATCTGATGTTCTTGTTTAAACAAATAATATAATTAATCATATTCGTTTATTCACTCATCAATCTCAATGAAACAAGAAACATAAGACAATAGAATCAGGAAGACTCGTCACCAAAATCGCCACTAGATACAACAGATCTTTTCACAGTTTTCTTTGTCTCAGAACTTGAAGCACTGTCACTGTCACTATCATCATCAATAGTAGTTTTCGTGTTTGTCCTTTTGCGTGTTACTGTGGAAGATTCATCTTCAACCGGAACTTCTTTAATCTCTCTTGTTTTGACAATTTTTTTGCGTTGCGTTGTTTCTTTAACATCTTCTTGACCTGGATCTATGATTACTTCTCTTTTAACAGTTCTTGAACTTTCACTACCACCATCTATTTCTCCACGGATTTTACCTCCACCTATTTTGGAGCTGATTATACCACGCGGTAAACGACCTAATCGTCTCGCTAATAAAATATCGCGTACATTTCGTAAACCGTCACCACCAATCACTAAACCTCCTTTGATTCCTGCTCCACTACCAAGACCTAGACCCGCTTTGATTCCTGCTCCACGACCAAGACCTAGTTCCGCTTTGATGCCTGATCCACGACCAAGACCTAGACCTGCTTGGATTCCTGCTCCACGACCAAGACCTAGTTCTGCTTTGATTCCTGCTCCACTACCAACATCTAGACCTGCTTTGATACCCCCGTCACCACCAACTACTGTGCCTTCAGAGGCGGCATCTAGAAAGGCAAAATCATAATGAATACGATAATTAATGTCACTTGAGTAATGTGTTGAAGTGAAAAAATAAAAATAAACAAGTTAATTAATTGGGCTTTCTCTTCACCTACCTCCAGTTTGAAAGAAGAGACATGTCGAGCAAATCGTTATGAATAATATCTATTAAAAATTATCATGAAAAAGAGAGTATTTATGAATAAAAATAAAATAATCACACTAACAGATGTGAGCGCCATTAGCTATGTTCTCAGAAAACCTGGATTGTGTATAAACATTTATTGAGAGGCTTAGAATACATTTATACTCTTTCTTCATATTTTTTTACGAGGTTACAATTGATTTATTTACTAACTAGATATGTCACAACGTACAATCAAGATTATCGTAAAATGCAGGGAAAAATAATAATGACTAGGTTCTGTAACCTCATTTTTCTATATTAAATGTAAATTATTTTTGTTTGTGACAAATGCCATTATTTGGTCAGTTTGTCCTTTTATTGAAATGACCGATTTTATTGTCATACTCAATAAAATCTGTCACTGGTTTAATGCAATAACTATACAGGAAGAACGTATTTTATTTTTTAATGCGTTTTTGATAGGATCAAACAGAATGTACACTGCTAAGGAGTCTCAAACTGAGACAAAATATCTGTCCAGGGTTTTCAACAGTTAACTTGATACCAGGTAATGGTGGAAATTAAAAAAAGGGAAATAGTTTATGGAATACAGAATAGAATGCATTTTATTTATAAATCACTTTGTCTCTAAATGAAGTAGATCCAGCAAGATAACCTCCTATAAAAATACGTTCTTCCTGTATAGTTATTGCATTAAACTAGTGACAGATTTTATTAAGTATGACAATAAAATCGGTCATTTCAATAAAAGGACAAACTGACCAAATAATGGCATTTGTCACAAACAAAAATAATTTACATTTAATATAGAAAAATGAGGTTACAGAACCTAGTCATTATTATTTTTCCCTGCATTTTACGATAATCTTGATTGTACGTTGTGACATATCTAGTTAGTAAATAAATCAATTGTAACCTCGTAAAAAAATATGAAGAAAGAGTATAAATGTATTCTAAGCCTCTCAATAAATGTTTATACACAATCCAGGTTTTCTGAGAACATAGCTAATGGCGCTCACATCTGTTAGTGTGATTATTTTATTTTTATTCATAAATACTCTCTTTTTCATGATAATTTTTAATAGATATTATTCATAACGATTTGCTCGACATGTCTCTTCTTTCAAACTGGAGGTAGGTGAAGAGAAAGCCCAATTAATTAACTTGTTTATTTTTATTTTTTCACTTCAACACATTACTCAAGTGACATTAATTATCGTATTCATTATGATTTTGCCTTTCTAGATGCCGCCTCTGAAGGCACAGTAGTTGGTGGTGACGGGGGTATCAAAGCAGGTCTAGATGTTGGTAGTGGAGCAGGAATCAAAGCAGAACTAGGTCTTGGTCGTGGAGCAGGAATCCAAGCAGGTATAGGTCTTGGTCGTGGATCAGGCATCAAAGCGGAACTAGGTCTTGGTCGTGGAGCAGGAATCAAAGCGGGTCTAGGTCTTGGTAGTGGAGCAGGAATCAAAGGAGGTTTAGTGATTGGTGGTGACGGTTTACGAAATGTACGCGATATTTTATTAGCGAGACGATTAGGTCGTTTACCGCGTGGTATAATCAGCTCCAAAATAGGTGGAGGTAAAATCCGTGGAGAAATAGATGGTGGTAGTGAAAGTTCAAGAACTGTTAAAAGAGAAGTAATCATAGATCCAGGTCAAGAAGATGTTAAAGAAACAACGCAACGCAAAAAAATTGTCAAAACAAGAGAGATTAAAGAAGTTCCGGTTGAAGATGAATCTTCCACAGAAACACGCAAAAGGACAAACACGAAAACTACTATTGATGATGATAATGACAGTGACAGTGCTTCAAGTTCTGAGACAAAGAAAACTGTGAAAAGATCTGTTGTATCTAGTGGCGATTTTGGTGACGAGTCTTCCTGATTCTATTGTCTTATGTTTCTTGTTTCATTGAGATTGATGAGTGAATAAACGAATATGATTAATTATATTATTTGTTTAAACAAGAACATCAGATTGTTCATCTTAGAACTTATGATTTTGATGTCATTTAAAAAAATAAATGTTTTATTATTTCGATTTGAATTGCTACTGTTTTTCAACTAGTAAATTTAGTTTACATCGATAGGAAACTTGTCTACTTTGAATATTGAAAATTTACAATTAATACTAATTTGTGCATGTTGATTGACTGTTTCACATATATATTTTGATAATGCATATCTATCGTTATTACTGTGTTTGATATGATCTATCTATATATCTTGATTGGTTGTGATTAACCTACCACTATATACAGTTAAAATATTTTCCCACTTGACGAGAAACTTACTAACTATTACTAAACTTATTGTACTTTCTAAACACAAAGAAATGTAATGCAGTAATTATATAGACTACTAATTAACATTTAAATTTATTCTAATGAAAGTGTCTATTAAGATATTATTATGTTCATCAACTCCCCATCGTTTTCAAATAATTCAACCTAGTCAGCTGAAAATGTCATTAGTAGGGAATATTACAAATCTGGGAAATGAAACAATCACTCAGGTATGTGCAGTTCTTGTAAATGTGTATAATGACGTTTATTTGTAGTTATTGTCATATATCTTTGAGTTGGTAGTTATATTTGATAATATACTTCTTAAATTGCACCCTTCGTTTCTCGTCAAATATGCTATTCATTATGACGTAAAGAAACATGACTGATGTTAGGAATCTTAAAATCAATGGATATTTAGTAAACTTTGAATATAATTTTATGTTAAGTGACTGTGTGTTGTTTAATTTCGAACCACATTTGTTTTGTCTCATACTTCTGTATGTGAGTCAGCATGTCATTTGGTTGACACAATGAGTAAATGAATAGTATTTGTAGTTCTCCAGTATAATTACACTCACGACTGCTGATTACTCATATTCACATTGTATCGGACCATATTATTCATGTGTCAGTATTCCTTCTATCATATTATTCACTCAAAATACTGTTTATATAACAACAATCTACTAGTTTGAATTTTGTTTTTATATAGAGATAAAATAAGCCGGTGGTTGATAATAACTAGAGACCACTGAATAGTTGATTCGATTTATTTTGAATCTTCTGAACTATGTGCAGTTATGATTAAATAAGCTGTCAAACTCAGTTGATGTTAATTTTTTTATTATATATATTCCCCCTAACGCGTATAAACATATTTGAGTGAATAGTTTATTACAGTAGACTTGAGTGTTTACTTTGAGTCGTTATATTATCTTTACTATAGTATATTTAGTGTGTTGTTTGATGTTTTGTTGGTGAATACTAATGCGTACTATTTTCGTGACGCATATTAATTTTATTAATCTTGACCCAGTTCCAAATGTTTTTTCGCAGGAATGTAGAGTACGAATTACTAGAATACATTGCATTATATTGAATTTGATTGATGTTAATAAATCTAACGTGCTTGCTATTCTGTGAGCTGAGGCAATCCACTTAGAATACCACATACAATCTGTTCAACAGACACAAATTCTATTGCCATTATGCGCTCACATCAACTCACATGTATACATATTTTAAACAACTGTCAATATATAGTTCGGAGAAAACTATATTTAAATTAAATAACAAGCGTTTAAAATGTCAAGATTTATTTGTATCCTTTCATTGGTAAATTGACCCAAGTTATTCATCTAACTAATTAAACAATTATTGCTATAATGAAGTTATTAATTCCTTGTGATCACGAAACATCGAGAATTCATTTTTTCTTTTTTACTCTGGTTTCAAGAATTTAGCACTTCGGTTGTTAACACGCCACTGAGTTTATTTAAATTTATTAAGATTACATCTTGATATTTAACTTACAAATGATTGGATGCAGTCATATTGGATGGTTGTATACTAGATCTTAGTACTTAAGCTAAAGATAAATCAATGAACACGACAAGATTAACCTTTTAAAGGGTCGAAATAAAAAGAGCTGACCTGATTACATGGATTAAATTGATTTAGGGCATATTCAATTATCATAAACTTAGACAGTATTTTCTGGCAAGGCTGGAGGAGGAATGATAGTTCTGGATGGAGATAAATTATCGATAATCACAGTTATATTTCTCATATATTCAAAATCTAATAATCAGTGACATTCCATCTTTCATTGAAATATGATTTATAAACATATTCCATTAGGTTATAACTATTGAAATTAAACAAATTTTATACTGTTAGTTTCAATAAAAAACCATTTAAATTAATCAATTCAAAAATATCTCCAGCCTGTAACAAACATACATAATTTTGTTATTTGACCTGTAAAACCACGTAACACGTAACACACTACTTTTACACTCAATAATACTCACCAACTTATTTAGAAATTTCACAAATAAATAAAGGCAGGATATTGTGAAAATATTCATTATTTATACATCAAAGAATGTGCCATAAATAAACAGAATGTTAAACGTTGATAAAAGTACATAACTTTAAAAACTTATGACTTGAGATTTAGGCAACGAAAGGTTCGAAAGAGAAGATATAATCCGGAATAGTTCCCCCATCATTTGGATTATTACCAGCTGAATTTAGTTCAGAGTTTCCCATCTCTGACTGTGTACCTGTATTATCGCCACGTGCACAGCATGCAGCTTCTAAAAATATATGATAATAAGATTATAGCAATATTAAACATATTCTCATATAATATTAGAAGAAATGTTTAAAGTGAAAATAAATGGTTTTCAGTACTTAAATTATGGTAGAAAACTACTTAGCTACTCAACATAAATTTTTTTAAAATTTCTTCTAATCTCTAAATAATGAGGGATGTCACAAACAAATTTACATAGGTTGCAATATACACAGTATTACATGAATTCAATTACCTTGAGGATTAAAATGAATAGAGATCACAAGAATTAGCAACAGTGTTTTCACTTCACTCCCCATGTTTGTTCGTCCTCTACAATTCTAAGCATAATGGAACCGTGTGATTTATATACTCTTGAAACATTACTTACTAACAAATAACTTCAGTTGTTTATAGAACAACTTGCAAACGATAATCATTAACAGATTTAATTAAATTTCATATCGATTCGAAGTAATTAATTAGCGGTAAAAATAACACAATCA